AGATCTATTTCTAATGCAATATGGGCGTGGTAATGGTAGAAATTAATTTCAAGAAGTGGTCTAATGGTTATTTCTTTTCAACACTCCAGGAGCAAAACACGATGCCAATTGAAAACCTTGCATTAAGACCTTGACGCAAATTCTGGCCGTCTAATCAATTTTGGCTTTCTGTTCTCACCACAGCCACAAAAAAAAAAATTTAATAAAATAAAAAAAATCCAGAAATCATATAATAGATCATTTTCTGTTGCATCCATTCTCGAAATGCTGTTGCATAATGCTGAATACACATTTTCAGCAATAAAATTCACAGCATTGAACCTCAGTCATTTAATAAATGCTGCTTTTTAAATCTCTAATCGATCAATCAATCCATCAATTAACAGCTATTTGTAAGGCACTAATATCCAGGACAGACACCATGTTCAGTGGCTCTATCACATAAGCATTACTCAAACTGCACGTAATGAGATTACAATAAACAACCACCGCAACTTGCACCAGCAACAACAATAAATACAGTACAGTAATACTACAAGTAATTTTCGGATACAAAATTGACTACAAATTGAATGTACATAACAAACTTGGAGATGACATAAAATATTTATTTTCAGTAGTAAAAAATTTACATTTTTTCCCTTTTTAGCATGAACTAATCTACAGTATAAGAATTAATCAAGCTAATACTGTAAGCAGTAATGTTACAAATATTAGCTGCAGAAACCTATTAGTTAAAGCCTCACTGCGTCGTACGATCGTCACGCAACGAATCTAACTGTGCTCAGTGTGAGCACTCGACGACACGACACCGTCTCCTAATTCATCCGAACGGATCGTTATTAAAAGCGATCCGTTGTGCGCGCGTCGTCACTTTGCGTTCTTTATGGAATCGCGTCGGCCGACAACCGTCAGGGGCATTGAGTGCCCAGCTAAACGTGTATTACCTTTCCATACTTTGTCTTGTGACATAATTCACTCTCCTCTTTCTAAGGAAACAAAATATTCCAATTACATTAAATTAACATAATCCTATACACCTGTGTAAATGCTCTATGTACTTGAGACATATGATGTCGGCAGACCTCTCCAGAGTGTCAATTAAACCAAAGATACTAGAAACACAAGATAAAGTTCTCCACAGAAAAAAACTGTTCCACCGAAATGCATGGTGGGAATACAAACAATGGGGCGCCGCGTATGTCTGGATCTAAAAAACTTATGCCAGCGTTACACAAATGTGAATACATAACCTCTTTTTGCGGAGGTAGAAATCATTGCTATTATTCATTAAGATACAACAAGTAGGCATAAATAAATCAAAACAATAAAATGACAGACACCAAAGCGCAGAATCGTATGACCGGACTCTGATTAGTGATAACGGTTTCCTCTATTAATGAGAAAAAAAAAGGGTGCCGTGTGCATCTGGATATGCTTAGCAACAGAAAGGCACCCTATACGTCTGGACCAAGTATAGAAAACTTGCACTATAAAAAGAGAAGGGTGCCGCGTATGTCTGGACCAATTTCTGCCTCATTTTTGCTATGCGAGTGCTCTATCTTGTATTTTTAGTATCTTTGATTAAACTTAACAACTGAACAGTCAGAACAGAGTCAGGAACATGCCACATCCCATGTGCTTTAAAGGACAATTTAATAATAAAAAATTACAGAAGCCAAGAAATGTCATAAGCTGCTTTCCTAAGAATAGAAAGAAAGTCAAGTAACGCCATGAGTGTGGCACTGTTATATGCTGTTGAATGAATGAACCTGGGATGTGGTTCCTATGTTTGGATTATTCAGACCAATTAAAGTACCTGTGCTTTATTACACCCTTTCCCACACTCATTGCAAAATACAGTCCCAAACCTCTCCCCCATCACCCATCCTGTCTGGCTAAACATGGAATCTTCCCTGGTACTGACTGTTAAAGTAGACATTGCTTATACTGTACTTACTATTTTAATACAAAATCTATAATTTTTATTTGGGAATAATAAAGCATGGAGATTTCATATAATAGAATGTATTTACAGATTTATACAGTACAAGACAATTTGTTTTTCTTCTTTTCAATTCGGACTGAATGGTACCGTATGGTAAGAGTATGGCATGACTCAGCATTATGTCTTGTGGTATCTTGTGATCATCTGATGAGGCAGAGTAAAATAGAAAACATAAGCACCACATGAGTTGATGCTTCAACTTCCCTTCCAGTGGAAGACATCACTAAAATCAAGGCTAATCTTCTGATGACGTCAAAAAGCTAAAACCTGCAAAGAATAAATGATTGAAGATTCTAATATTTCATAAATTCATATTACAGTATTATTCAATGAATACATGCAATTTTTACCAGGTAGGCCTATTGTAATTATTGTATTACAAATGATTATTTGCTATACCATAAACAACATCTTATTTAACACCATATTTCCTTATATTATGAAATCTGTATTTAAAAAAAACTTTATACACAATACATTGGGAAAGATTTTACCAAAACAAAAACCCAAAACTGTTCTCATTTAACTTCATTTATTTATTTAAAACGATTTAAAAATGTAACCATAAGATCAGGGAAGAGGGATAGAGATACACTGGATGGAGTGGACATACACTGCAAAACTTTAGGCCACGAGAATGAAAGTTGTAGGTTTGCGTCCGAAAAATTTTGAAAACACATGAGGCATTTTTTCATTTTTCATTATTTTTTTATAAATGCTGTCCACAAGCCGCGGCATTGGTAATTTTACATTTATTCCCAGGAAACAATGCTTACAGTCATAAAATGTACACTAGCCTATAAAACAGATCCTTTTCTACATTTAAGACCTCTTTAAACATATGAGATTTCCTATTGGTCAGAAAGATCGATTTGACCTGTAAATGACCTCAGCAGTGATCAGCGATCATGGTGCGATGTGGCCAGGCCTGCCTTCACTCGGTGTTCGCGACGAGTGATCAGTGATGAATAGATAATTTTTCTGTCTGTTTACAACTTAGAAAGTCCATTTTTTAAAACGAAGTATATTTTTTTCAAAATAATGAAAATTTTCGTGCGGTAGCTTTTTAGGCAAGCGGGCGGTGGACGCAAACCTATAACTTTCATTCCCGTGGCCTTAAAGAAAAGTTCTTGTCATAAAGTTTGGAATTTTATCCTGCTCGCTACTTTTACACTGAAAAAACTATCTTCATTTAACGTTAAAGCAAAACATGTAATATTTTGATCATAGAGAAATAGTTAATTCAATAACTAAAGTAAGTAATTAATACAGAACAAATTTGATTGTACTTGTACATACAAACACATTATAACATAGACTTTATCACCATCATCATCGTTTTTTCTTCTTTTCATGTTTTTGTTTCCTATTCTGACTATCAGCTTGCGATTTTGAAGAATTTATTGTGTTTACATCTTCTTCCAATAGGCCTCCTACAGCCGAATTCTAGAAAGAACATATTCAAATAAATTATAATAGTCCTAGGCCTAATTAATAAAAAAAAAATAACAGTAAACATACTGTACATACAGTACACTTCTACCACCAGACAAATTTAATAAAATTCAATAACAAAGTTTGACATTTGCGTACAATCAATACTTCCTACGATATATATAATATAAAACATATTTAAATATAGAGAGAGCTAGTGTAGGCCTAGGCCTACGTGATGCAACCTGGAAGAGGCAGTTTAACAGAGAGCTGAGGCTGAGCGCGTGGGCGTTGTGAAGTTAAATTTTAGGCAGGGCCTGTTCCTGTCGTACACGCTTCCTCAATAAATAACTCTATACGTTACCCTCACTTGAGCCCAGGTTATACGTTACGTTCATCTTACCTTATCCGATCCTTGATTAGGTAACACAAAAATCGCAGCAATGGCTATAATTTGAAATATTGCACCAAATATTAAACCATAGTGAAGAATATCTCCGACAAAATCAACTTCCGACATTTTGTTTGTTTGTTGTTAGAGGTATTTAACCTTAACCTTTGCCCTAAAAGAGGCAAGAATCTACCAATCAGATTTGAAAAGCACATCCAGCAACACACACCGCGACGTTTTAAACTGGAGCCTCGATCAACCAAACCTGGAAAACGATCATAATCCCGTAGGTTAAATGTTTTTTACAATAATCAAATTATTATAATTTTAAAATGTAGGCCTAATCAATGAATCTATAAGCAGTTACATGTAATAAAATTCTGTAGTTTAGGCCTAGTAGTGATAGAATGTAAAAATCATGCGAAGATTCCGAACCTGCCTTTTTAGGCCTAGGCTAGGCCTAGGAAGTACTAGCCTACTAGTATACTAGAGGCTAGGCCTAGCCCCTCATACAGCTCTAGTGATGTCGAGGGAGAGGCGCCTAGTTAGTGGCCTGGTCATGTTGTCCTGGCTGTGAACATAAATATAGACTTCACTACGCGTAGGTAAGCCTAGGGGCTATGACGTCTAGCCTAGCTAGAACTACATATGTATGTAATTTGTAGGAGTATCATGCCGCGTGAGACTTTCGTTCTATAGTAATAGACCTAAACCTCTCCCAAAAAGTGTTGGGGGGTGTGTGTCCGGGGAATTCCCCTCCCCCGCCCAGAATGTTTTCCCTAGATACCAGGAAATGCATTCTTTGGTACTTTTTAGTTGTACTGTATGTTACAATCACACATTTTTTCTTGAGAATGCATCTGCCATCCACATTCGAAAATAGAGAGAGCTTGAAAATACACATACAGTATATTTTTTATTATAGGCAATATTATTATTACAGTTATGCGTGAGATTTTGGTCCTTAAGCATGAGAGCATAAGACAGACCTTGAATGCGTGAGTCTCACACCGAATGCGTGAGCCTTGACGTGTACAGTATGGTAAAGAAGCAAACATAAGTTTAAATATGGGAACTATGAAAAAATAAATATAAATCAAATACGGTATGCCAGGAATACTGTAACACATTAAAAGTCATTTAAAATAAAACAAGCTGAACAACTTACAGTATCTCCAACGATGTAGTCCCTTGTAAATTATGAAGGCCAAAAATAAAACAAAAATAGGGATAAGAATAAGGAATCTAATGCTAATGAAATTGAAAAGGAATAAATTTTTAAATTACATTATCAGAAGTTTAGTAACATACATATTAATCATAAATTGAGTGACAATAATATTTAAAGATTGATTACAATATTACTTATCATCTTCTTTATGTTTAAGGTATTTCTTTAGTTCCATTTTAAATCGGAATGAATTTGATATATTTGCTTGTAGTCAGAAGTTTATTCCATTCTTTAATTGCAATAAAATAGAATGTATTTCATCCTATACCTTGGACTTTAGGCGAGTAGAGTGGCTGAGCGGTTAAGCAAGGGTGCCGCTAACTACAGCCTTAACATCGGCGCTGGTTCCAGCCACTCCTTTTCCATAGAGTACCACAGTCGTGCCGTTACAACACAAGGTGGCGCCCTCTAGACATTTATTACCGTTCATTATGCCTGAATGACTTCATAATCTTAATGGTTTAGAATAGGCTTTCTGGAATGCATTTTAAAACCTAATAATTTACTATCAAAATGTACTAAAAACACAAAAAGCTGGCATTATATTAGTTATCGAATACACATTTATTAGAAAATGGCGTCGGTTGAACTCATTTTGTGTTGCTGATAGCAACGGAGTAGTATCACATGGTATCGTGAAATAACACTGTCGTACAGTAGTCTATAGTTTGGTTGGTAGAACCAAGTCTTCTTGGATATGGACTTAACATAGAGGTCCAGTGTATACATCTGGCTTGCGTGCACTTTAAAGAACCCATTGCATCTTTCGGAAGAGTAGGGGTTACCCTGATGTTACTGGTTCATTTCAGCCCCTGTCGTTGTGGAATAATTTGAACATGTAGGGCTCTACTATAAGCGCCTCTTAACGGTTGCTAGGTAGTTACGGACCACACCCATACACAATTCAGCACAATGATGCTACAAGTTATGGGTTATTCCCTATGTTTCCTACATAAATTTGTACTGACTGCCACAAGTAAAATACAGTCTAAAATTCTATGAAAATTATCAGAAAGGTATGGAGCGGTTCTGCCAATAACTATCTTATAAACATGAATTAGTTGCAAGAACACTCGAGTAACAGCAAAATAAGTAGGCCATTAAGTATCTTCAAGAAGAGGCTAACTAAATTATAAATACAGTAGGTGGTTGAAAACTATGATCACTCAAACATCTTTTTGATTTAAAACATAAGTGTTGGGATAATAATAATAATAATAGTGTACAGTTTTATATAGCGCACATATCCATCTAATGTAAGATGCTCAGGGCGCTTGATATGTGGACTAGGAACTCGATCTAAATTACTTTCTTCGCCCCTAAGGGTCCCTTCGTGTCTGTGCTACCCGGTAACCGGGTACCAGCAACTCTCGTCGTCCACCACAGGGTGGACGACGTCCTGCAACCTCTACTAATTTTAAAACTTGATGATTGTTGTTTTGTAGATCTTCTGGATTAACTGATGAAGGCCTAAGTACTACATACCTATCACTACCAATATGAACCAAGAAACACTAACTGGTAAAGAATTGTACATTGTCTATTGAGAGTAATACATCTTTGTTCTCAGAGACAAAGTATTGTTCAGAATGAATGATGACAATGTTCAGTTAGTTTTAATTTGTAATGCTATTTTTAATTGTGGATTATCATTTTATTATCTTCATCATTATTGTCACAATACATCAACATCATTATCATCGCCCTTATCGTTGTCATGATTAGTATCACATACAATAGCTGTATTTTATACCGTTGTGACAATAAAGTTTTATGGTATCGTATTGATGATCTTCATCAATGTTGTTACCATTATCATCATCATCATCATCATCATTGTCACCATGCAGCATCATCGTTATCATCATCATCCTTCTCGTTATCATATCACACCATTATCATGATCGTCATCAGTGCTCTTACTATTAGATCATCATCATCATCATCCACATTATCATCACCATCCTCATCATTACTATCATCATCACCACCACCATCATTACTATCATCATCACCACCACCATCATTACTATCATTATTTGTATTAATAATTATTAGAAGTTTTAAACTAACTGTTGGTAAACTTCCCAAAAGGTACCCAAGTTGGAATTCTGATTGATCTAAGTTCACCATTAAACATCGAGCAGCGTTTACCAAATATCCCAAACCCTGCAGAAGAATGTGGCAATAGTGAGATATCTTCAACTGAAACTAAGCTGGAAACACTTGTTGGTATGTATTAATATGTCGTCTAGTCTCCTTGAATTGTTTTTAATTTATAGTAATTCCATCTTTTTATAATCTACCAAGTTTAGGATGTTGACTCAGATTTACTGTGTAAGTATTCATCCTATTTCCCCCATTCTTATCCCTTTTAGGAAGTAATATTAAAGTACAAGTTCTTGACTGAGAACATATTTCTTTTTTTATTTATATTTTTTCATTTCTCTTTCATGTAAAAACAGGTGTACTCACCACAGGATGGAAGTACTAAACTACGTATAAATATAGTGTAGTCATGTCTTGTTTAAAAGGACAGCAAGTGTACTTGTCACTGAAAATATAATTCAAGATAAATAGGCCTAAAGCTTGGTGTTAAAGGACAGCAGATGTAACAATCAATATCAGATTTTATCTTTTATTTGTATGTAAAATACAAATGGCAACTGCATTTATTTATATACTGATCAAAATACAAGTCAGAGGCAGATTGGTACAAATTCTTTACTAACTGTATGTCCCTTTTGACCTTAATCCTAATGGTGAGATTTGAGAAATATCAGTTAAAAAAAAATTAATAATTGTAATACTAATAACAATTATAAGCAACAAGAAGTCTTGCAAGATGAACCATCTAGGTAAACTTAATGGTATATTAATTTTTTAATTGAGAGTATTAATGATGATGATGATAATATTTATAATAAATAATAATGATTAATGATATTAAATAGTGTACACTTCAGTACCTATCAGAAAAGTATGTTGAAAGTGGGAAACAGTGTTGGTTATTCAATTACAGAACCTGATGAGAAAACAAATTTAGTGAATATGAGTGTGCAAGGAAAAGAATGTACAAATCAAGAATCAGAAAACAGTCGAAATCAAAGTTTCAAATGGAGTGAAGGTATGCATGGATAAGGCAAATTAATACTTTCATTTTATTTATAATTATTATTTATTAGTATATTTATTTCGTGAGGGTATTCATCATACAGCAATACCTATTTTAGTTATTTTATTTATTTCTTGAGGGTAGCCATACAGAACAGCTCCTATACAGAACGGCTCCCTTGTGGGTCCTTATATTGTTATGAAACAATTTAAAATTCTCGTAGCTGAATTATATATGTACATCATGTAATCAAAATGCATAGCTTTCAGCCAGGCAGTAAATGTTATAGATCATGGGTGTGGGAGCAATTGGCAAAGCAGTTATTTCCTGGACCTTGAGGTTGGATGTTTGAAACTTTCGGTGTGCATCTCCCTTCTATTGGTCAAAGCAGGCATTGCACAGTCTGGCCCCAAAAGCCAAGAAAAGAGTGATAGAGACTCTTGTCTTTGAGCTCAGTGTTCTGATTTTGACTTCATAGCTTTATACTGGATCCTATAGTACAGTACTAGGTACCCACACACTTATACTGTACTACAGTGTTGAGAGAGAAAATTGTGAAAAGGGAAAAGTTAAAAGCAAAGTGAGAGACTTGAAACCCTGACCTTGATGTTGGAGGCTTGAAACCGCAAGCGTTACACTGACTGCTTTATAAAAATTCATCCAGGACAATAATAATACATATAATTTATAGTAATTTTGTGGGCGTAAGTTATACTGGGTTACCTTGATCTAACCACAATCACATTTTTATTTACATATACTGTAATATATTACATTTTTATTCACATATAATTTATACTAATCTTGTGGGCGTAAGTTATACTGGGTTACCTTGATCTAACCACAATCACATTTTTATTAATATTTATTATCAATTTTTATATTTTATGTTAGTTCTTTCATTAGACTTTTCAATGATTTTAAACTGATTGTGTTGAGATTAAAAGTTTTAGATGTGCATTTTAAAAATCCCTATTATTATTATTATTATTATTATTATTATTATTATTATGTGGCAATCATTCTACTGTTACAGTTAAATTGCACAGATTATGGTTTTGCTAGTCACTGTGTTTGATTACTGTGGGATTTCACCTGGTCAGTGTCATGTACAATGTGGTACTATCTATGCTCCATAGGGAATATCCCTAATACTACTCACAAAGCTGTAAATCCACAATATCCTGCTAGGTACCCATCTATACTAGCTTCCTGGGAACTATTTGGAAACATTTAATTGTTTGAGTTAAAGACACATGCAATTGAACTTGAACTAGATTTGAACCTATGCTTCCAAGATCACAAGCCTCACCTTCCCAGTAACAATGACAACAATCTTAATATTGAGAATCCAATAGCAGAATGTCCCAATAACACCCCCACCCTTCCCCTCACCCCATGATGCAAAACACTGCTCCTCCTCACCCTCCATGGTGCCACCATTGCATGATTAATAGCGCAAGCTAAGATAATAATTGTACTACATGATTCATTTATTTTTATACATTTCAAATAAGTTGTATTACATCAAAAAGATTGCAAATTCATCATATAAATGACATATGACATAGCAATTCATGTTCTACTGTATACTGTGTTCCTATTGGTTGGTTACTGTATTGATACTCAAGTTAACCAATCACAGTACAGTTTATTTACATTGTATTGTGTGTGTTCTTATTAACGTCAAATGAAGCAGTTACTCATCAAATAAAAATGACTCAAGTAGACAGCTGCTTCAATTATACAGTATTATGCATGATAACACATTTTTGTAAAACAAAATCTGATTTACACAAAGTAGAAAAAAGAAAAGTTCCACTATTAATTAGTGATAAAGGCTATTCCATCAATTAAAAGTAAGATGGTTTGCATTATAGAAACACAAAAATCTTAAGGGAGGAGAATAAAAACTGCCTTAAAATACTTAATTAGATATTGTAACTACTATTAAATTTGAAATATTATTTTATAAAAGTAAATATAAATAAATTAAATATCTGAAACAAATTTTGAAAACACCCGAATGAATCTTGAATTTTGAATTCAGCTGACAATGGGTAATTCTGGTAAAAATATCCTCATAATACTCTCTCAGAGGGACTTGACCTTGATTGACCTTATGTACTTTATACCTCATTGACGTCAAATAAAGCAAACCTGAATAACAGACCCCAGCACTGATAGATTCATTAGGCCCACCAGCTGTCACCAAGACAATAGAAGCGCCCAAATTATGACTACACTCAAAACAAAACCCACACAATACATTTTGCATTGGCTCCTGTATAGGGAAACACCCAAAGGTTAGTATATAAATCTGATCCCATCATCTGTATTCATTAAGATTTATACAGCTTGTCATTTAGGTGCTCAGAACTTAGTTAAACTGATCTCATTCGTCACAGCAGCATAATGGTGGTTTATATAGGATTCATTCGGTCTGAGAAATATTGTTTGAAAAATTATTGGCGTAAGGACATTCATTCATTTTATAAGTTACTACAAATTCAGACAAAAAATGTAATTTATCTTGCATATGGATATTAGTAATACTTAATTATTTAGTAAATAATATGATTTTATTTTTCTATGTGAATCAAATAGTTTGAAAATATGCATTTACCACATTAGGCATGTCACTTATGTTTTTTTTTTTTTTTTTAGAGCAATTTATTTTCAATTTGTTCAGCATGTCTGTTACTATATATTATAAATTCATAATGACATGTGAACTCAATTCATGTTCACTTCAATTATTCATGTTATATTGATTGTAGTTATTAATGTTTGTCTGCTGAATCATTTATTTAAGAAAATTTGTGTTGGCATATAATTTTTTTTGTGTTTGTAATCAATTCTGATTAAAATATAAGATTGTTTTAAGTATTTTACATTTTAGTTTAGTTACAGCATTGTCTGGATCTTAAAGGAAGCCCAATAAATAAATACTTTTGTTTGTTTGTAGATATACCGCTTGTGGAAAACGAACAGTTTGATTTTGATCTGTCTTTATCACCGAAGTAAGTAAACAACTACAATTACCACTATTTTGATACATACTGACTTTTAGGCATTAGTAAAATATTCTTTGTTTAGTAATTTTATATATGTTAGACAATTATCAGCATTTCAAATCAACACACTTAAACATGGTTTTATATTAACAATTATACTTACCATAATCATCTTAAGTATTATCATCATCATCACCACCACCTATTTAATCATCAGTATCACTATTATCAAAGTCATCATCATTGTCATCATCATCATAATCATAAACATCATTATCATCAATATCCTTTTTGTGCAGGTGCAATATTACCAGCAAATTTAAGAATGTGCTCATTTTTAATGTCCTTCCTGTCAATTTGTCTGGTTGTCTTTCATTCATTATCTTTCCTCCATTTTCTGTTTTCAGTTTTCGTAATTCCATTACATAATGTGATTTTATTTTATCCTAGTGGTGCCAATAGAGTTGACTCAAATGATGAAGAAGATGAAGTGTTTTTTGGACCAGTGAATCATCGTGAGAAGTGTGTTCGCGTTAAGAAAGACATTGAAAGCAAGTCTCTCAAACCTCTCAGTCCGCTAACCAATGAACAGTACGCTGAACTATTTAAAGAAGCAACTGGACTTGTGATGGATCTCCAGCAAAATGGAGACCCAGTCAAAGAAAAGAAAACATCAGGAGAAACAGAACAATTTATCAGTAAAACACTTGAATCACTGAAGCTGACCAGTCTGTACGATTCATCCCCTGAAACAACTGTTGACTGTAGCAACAAAACTGCAATTTCAGAATCGCAGTGTTTCAAACGAGAACAGAAGAAAGATATTAGAAGTCCAAGGCGTCAGACTTACATTATCACAAAAAATGTTAATCCAATCAGCGAGCTACCTAAGGCTAGTGAGTGTGTATCAAGGCTAAAGCCAGCTGGTGCTGTAGCTTTTAAGGCTAAAGGAGCAGTTCAAAAGAGTGTGCCACGGCCATCAATGAAGGCTAAGAATCCTAAAGGAAGTGTAACTGCAAGCAAACAGTCTTTTGCCAAGAAAAGACAGGAGCTTTCAAAATCAAATGTAAGTAAATTCAGCTGTGAACTGAGCAACCTGCATAATAACCATCAGAACACTGTAATTGAAAATATCACTCAGATATCAATGCTTTCTTTAAAAAAACACACACAGACACACAAACAACTGAGCTTATTTTTGTAAATTTTCCACATCGCTAGTAATCAGAAAATTGAAGTATTTTGAGGTTTTTGCAATAATATACAGTATGTTATAAATCATGAGAATAAAAGCAAAGAATAAAAATTGAGTTCAATTAAAAATGTGTAAATTATTATTTTATGTAAATATTTTAAGATTGCTTTAATTTTTGCAAAGGTCTCCACATTGTCAGTGAAGACAAGTCCACCAAAGAGGGTAAGAAAAAGTAGCAGCCAATGTTCTGAGGATGGCATCTCAGACACATCTAGTATCACCTCTGACATAAGTGAAACATCCACCTCCAGTATACCTGTACCTGGAAAGAAACGGTCATTGCCAGTCCCTTCAAAGGTAGGCCTTAACTTTTGATTGTTCTTGTAATATCATAAATGGTAAACTTGATGACGTTTAAATATATTATATCCAAAATAATTGAATGCATTTTAATATAATACTCACTCTTGAATATGTGTTATAATAAAAAGTAAAACAAAATTGTTTTCTTTTTACTATCACAGCTCATGAAATCAGGTTTAGCAGCACCAACAAAAATTGTGAATGGACACAAAGGTAATATTATGTTATTTTCCCCCATCACCATTTTCCGACCTATATTTTATATTCTGTACTTGTTGTATTTCAACATTGCAATATTAAAACTATTTAAAAAAATATAATTTAAGGTCCATCTAACAAGCCTACACTTATGAAGCCAGGGACATTCCAACGGCGGACACTTATAGTCAACCGAAGTCAAAAAGGAGAAACTACCTCTAAAACACAACAGCAGCCTTTGAAAGCCACATTGTCATTAAAATCAACCAAAAAGACAACGCCAGTTAGCAAAATGCAGCCAGGTAAGCAGGCAAAAAACCATTAAGTACCAGTGTTTAGTAGTCCTAAAGAAATTTGCTTGCAAGGGTCATTGCTACAGATCTCATATCCCTCACAGTCAATAATGCTGCAGCTAGTTATCAGTCCATTATTCAAAACTATTATGTACAAACTTAAATAATCCACGTGAAAAGTATAGAGACAATGTTGATAAAGTGACTTTGTTAAGGACACACAAACATGTGGTCAGGAACAATGCTCAATCATTTGATTGTAAACCCAAAGTATTTCACTCTGTGATACATTTTTCAATGATGTAAAACTTTTGGTCTAATGAAAATAATCTCTTTGAATCTATAGCCGCAAAGGATCCTAGAAAGACACCGTCATCCAACCTGTCAGTAGCTAAGAGCTCCCAGGTCAGAAAGGGTACACCACGAGGTACTCTGATGTCTACACCTGTATTCCAGGAAAAAAGAGTTGTTCCTAAACGAATTATTACATCAAGCTCAAAAACAGATCCAAAACAGATTACAAGATCCACAAGGTATTTAATCTCAATTTTTTAAGTCTGGGCTAAGAATTAAAAAAAAATCTACAGTGTATTCAAGGTTTTAAATAAAAACCAGTGCTGCTTTAATGAAATTTAAATGGAATGAAAACAATTCAAAATAAATTTTGTTTTTATTTTCTCAATTTCAGTAGTCCATACTCAGCATCGAGTCTTAAAGCCACGCCTGCAACACCTTCCATTTCTAATCATAAGCCGTCGGTATCAACCACTGGCTCAGCTCGTCGTCGGTCTGGTATACCAACACCGATGAAATCATCAACCAAAAGCCGAGTATTTTCATTCAATAACGTTGCACCGCCAAGGTAAGGTCCATCATTTATTAGCTTCTGTTTCCTGCAAACTGTTACAATTGTCATTCAAATCTTCAATATAAATTTTGCTAGCCATCCAAAATTTGACCTTCATAAACATATTCTTATGAAATTCATCACTCTGAGATATGCTTAGTCTATTTCGTGAGTAACAATGTTGGGAACTAGGGGAAGAGAAGCGTCAGGTGCACCTTCATCCTGGAAAAAACCTCTCTAGCTACCTGCACAATCTACTCGAAATTAAACAGCAGGGTCAAGGGATCCACAGTGAGCTGACGTCAATGGACCCTTCATGACTCGACGGAGACTCATTATAAGTAACAAGCCCCCTGAAACAGGTACAGAACATACTTATATGGCCAATCAAGTGCCGCTGCAACTGTTAGCTGCCAACACAAACACACCACCCTACAGGCTACACAAGCGTTACAATAGGCATGCCATATGCTTAGTAAATTTAGCACTTGGTCTGGGCCCCCACAAGCAGATCACAAAGTATTGTGGGCAGTCATAGCGCAACAAAACCAGATTTTAATCTATCGGAAAGAATACATTGTTTCTAAGAAGTTTTTAGCATCCTTCACAAATATGTCTCCAAGATATGAAATAATAACTAACATCAAATATGGAACAAAGACTATGTTTTCGGAGACAGTTTGTACATGGCGATTAGTTTATCCATTATCTATTACTTATTATTAAGTATCTCACTCATAGACTAACAACATTACAATTTATTTGTGTTTATTGATGTAAGCCTAAATATTACTCCTGCCAGTGTCAATAAAAGTATCTTTTTTTATTGTTTGCTAATTCTGCTTTTGTCATTAGTAATTACTCTGTTATCAAATCCCTTAATCTTCCGTAGTCCTCTTCCAATGCGTATCAGCCAGAGTTCTATGTCTAGCAGTAGTGTATCTGATTCGCCAATTTTTCCTAAAGTAATGCCAAAGATACCAGAGTACGCCAGCACACAGGAGCAGTCTGCATCACCTGCATGTACCCAGGTTGTAGACAAATTCACTGAGAAAAGAATTCACAAAGAGGACTGTATCGCTCCAAATGATGCTAAGCCACAACAATTACAATGTGACAAAACTATTGAGAAGCCCAGTCCAGCAGCTAAAACTGCTGTGGTGAGTAAAAAAACTTTAATGGCAGTTGAAAGCAGACAGTAGTGTGGTGGTGATGATACTGATGGTGGAGGGGATGATAATATGGTTTGCAGTAATTTTTCTAGTGATGATGATGGTGGTATTTGTAATGATAATGATTGAAATGATGATAAATTCTTAAAAAATAACTTTGTTTCTTTTCTTAGCTCATTGACTTGAATGATAGTAAAACATCAGCTGTATCCTCATCAACGGCAAACTTGATAAATTTTGCAGATACTCCTGAAGTGAGTCTATTTTTCATACAAAAATTACAGTTTTATACAGTAATATACAACAATATTAACAATCGTTGGCCAGTGGCAGTCTCTGAGACCACTATTAGTTATTGTCACCGATTGTGTATGTTGTTACTGTAGTTCGGCAAAACAGCAATTTTTGTTGCCTTATTAATGGTAATATCTCATTTTTATGATATATTTTTCTATTTATATTCAGTGCATAATACATATCTGTCTGTCCTTGTTCACAGCCCAAGATGAACCTGCCCGTCAGTGAGAAAGAAAACCTGCTGATAGTCATCTAAGAAGTAGCAATACATGTTTTAGCAGGATCAATGATATAAAATATTTTAATTCAAGTTTCAATCATTCCAGACATCTTACACTAATCTAGTGGTTGCCACCTAAAGCCACATATATTGGTGGAGTGATAGGAAATTATGTTTACAGCAATGTCTGAGGCTGATATTTATGACCAGCCATTGCTCAGCACTGCTACAAGAAATCAACAGGAGATGCAAAAAAATTAGGCCTCTGCTATAGTCTATAGCCAGGCAATCACTGCCCCTGGCGGCTGTTGGCTGATTAAGCTGCATGCATAACGGATCGTTTGTAATGACGATCCATTCAAATTGCTACTGACAATCAGCAGACAGTGTTGCGTCATCTAGCGCTCACAGCAAGTGGAGTTTAGTTCGCCGGCCGACCGTAGTACGTGGCAGTGATTTTAACCCTATATCCTGGGGCTGGGAGGTGAGCATTCTAATCACCAGGCTAAACAGCTTAATTTTTTCTATTTTTTGGCAATTCATATGGTCTCATAACTCTAATTATTCTCTTCTAGTAACACTTGTTTGAACAAATTATTGTTTTTATTGTTTTTTAATGTGAATCATTGGTAATTTTGTCATGCTTTTCAATTTTTTGTGAACCTTCCTGATTAATTTCCTCTGGAATATACATGTTCTCTTCCATTGCTCTAAAACTGTAAAGTGTTTATAACAAATTTTATTACATTATAAGAAATTAAGGTTGTATTTGGTACCACACATGTATAGCCATTTGAAAGCTTTGAAAAAAGTGAACAATTTAGAAGTACATTAACCACCATAATGATATTACAAGTAGAGAACAATAACTTAGACAGAATGAAATCTCTGTAATAGACGTATATATATCAAATATCAATCATGTAATGTACATAAAAAATAGCAATTGTAACGTTTGATCTTTGATAAAATTCGCTAATCAAGTTACATTTATCATAGTACTGTATTTTCATCAGTAGATAGATTAAATTTACTGTAATATATCAAAATGAAAGCCGATTAATTCGCTTGCAATGACATTAGATTTTAAATTTTGATATAAATTAGTTTGGTTAATGTAAATAGTAAAATAAAATAATAATACGTCATATGCTAGATGCTGCTATGTGCCTCAGTTATTGTTGGCAGCCATCTGGTTAGTTTTCCTGCAGCAAAGAAATGACTCTGCTCTAAAAAATTGTGTGTTTTAAATCGGATGCAGAAGTTTATTTACTATATTAGTAGATTACCTTTGAGAAACCGCACAAAACACATGCGTACCAATACTAGATATCCTACATGAATGATGTTCATATAGTGAATTTGATTTGCTACATGTAGATTTATTTTCAGGGTTATTTTAACTTTTAGACTTTTGTTTCTTTTTGCTTTATATTAAATTGAATATATAATTTTTGGCTGTGTATCAAGCAATAAAATGCTAAATATGACTTTACCTTATTATTCAAAGATGTGGATTTTGTGTCTCCAGAATTTTGACAACAATGGGTCCAGCAAATCCGAATGTACATGCTTAGTTGTGCGCAGAAGGCACATCAGACTGAATTTTATGGAATAATATCTGATCATAATAATGACGCCATTCCTGAAGAGTGACTGACCCTTATTATTTTGTAGGCTTGATTTAGACGGAATTGATGATTGGCCTAATGATGTCGGTGATACGCACTCAGAAACATGACGTCAGAATAGCGTAGACCTAGAGAGTTGCTTTATTTTTCAACACTACCATATTTTTCGTACTCCTACACTTTTGGCGTCCTTAAGTGCTCGGAATCAACCCTGTGTATTTTACTAATTGTTACACTCTTGGTACAATTTTTAATTTACTTTTATAATAATAATAGTTGGATTTGTAGAGCACATCATGCGAAAAAGCCTCTATGCGCTTGGTGATTGAGCTCTTTGAGTTTGACATTTTGAAAAATCGGCTACCATCTAGGCTAGGCCTAAATATAACTTGGTGTATTCTCGTATTTTGTTGTACTTAAGTCCAAAGGCCTAGCCTATCCCCTTTTATATTAGTACAATAATGTTTAATGTGTATTCTAGTCGGACAGGCTTGATAATGGTTGCACACGAGGTCTGAAGGCATCATCACTACTAGGAAAACTACTACCGAAATAGAAAGATCGGCCTAAGCGCTTCGCTGAGCTGAAAAATATTGATTAAACATAATAATAATAATAATAATAGTTGGACTTGTAGAGCGCATCATGCGAAAAAGCCTCTATGCGCTAGGTGATTGCTCTTTGATTTGGACTTTTGAGAAAAAAGAAAGTTGAAGTTATTTTATGAAACTAAAAAAACCTACTCCTTAAACTAAGGCTTGGTTGGCCGTTGGCTCAGAGGAGTTCATCCGCCCTTTGTTCAGCTGTTTTTTTTCGTGCTGCTGGGTGTCCATCCACCCTCCCATTGGCGGCCGCTAAAGACCACCAGATGGGGTTGTCGGAATTAGTCGCCGATGACTCGACCGGATGCAGTTTATAACGTCGTGCCCAGTTTGTAACGTAATGCTTTGTATGCCTATATGATTACATTACAGTGATGGTTTTGCGATTAGAGACTTGGTGAATATTGTATTGAATAGTGTTCAGTATTTTGCAATGCATCATGTTATTCTGAGACTTTCGAGAAACTAGGCTTAAACATTAAGTTGTTTCTACGTTCATATGATCATGCGCGCTATTGAGTCACACATTTGGAGTGCTACTGTAGATTGCTCGTTTACTTATGTGTTTATTATCACAAGCACATATCCCTGTTGAATCATGATTGGTGAATTTCACTGTATTATTATTTTATTATTATTATTATTATTAATATCATTATTATCATCATTATTATTAACATATCTCACATAATATTCTGAGTTTCATTACTAAATTTAGAAATGAAAAAGAAACAAATCTGGTTGATAATGCATTTTCATGCTAAAAAGGACTTAATTGCACCGGGGTCAATTATAGAGTATAGGTTCATCTTCTTTATACTCTTATCATTCAAATCGTAAATTGAGGTTGTCCAGAAAAGATTTGCTGTAGGCGTTAAAGACAGTTGAGCCGACGTGACAAACTTATTTTGCCATAGTTTTTTCATTAAAGATAATTCCAATTCACCGATCAATGTTCGACATTTTTGCGTAATCATAAAAAAAGGCGAGGAAAACTAAATAGGCTAACAAACTGATTGATGCGGGAATCAAACTACAGAATTAAGATTATCATTCAGACGACTGCCAATTGAATTTAAACTACCTTATAAGATGACAATATTTGTTGCCTAAGCACTAGTTTAATATTTATTTAAAGATTTACAGAAAAAAAAAAACAGTTAACCTAATGATGAGTCAATGGAAGGAGCTGGCACCTGTTTTATCAATCGAGTTTAACCTGAGGTGGGGCATTTTGCGACACAAAACCAAAGCAAATACTGTACAACGCAATTGAAACTTTGGATTTATTCTAAGCTATTTTACAAAGGCATATTAAAACACTAGAGTAACTATTTTTAACAAGACAGGAACAACATTTATACAATAACGATAATAATGTAACTACATAAAATAATCGAAGTGGAAAACTAGGTGAAAAAACTCACTATTGCCTGCCTATACTAATCGCTGTCAAGTGACAGCGCCAACACAGCAATTAACCACGTGATAACATTATTACACAAATTAATGGAAAGTGAAATGTTTAATTCTAATGTACAGCTATATAATGCGCATTATATATATTAACATATATTTTCTATATTTTCGTACAAAAAAATGTTAAAACTCTTTTACACCTGGAAGCTTTCTACTACCATTATTCGTAGGCCTACTTCAAAATCACACAATCTTAGCTCGTTCGGTCGCAAACCTTTTGCAGAAGTTCACGTTTCTCTGTAAATCCCATCATTCAATTACCATCATCAGTTTGCCTTTTAGCAAAGAATTTAAATAGCAGAAGAATGAGCTGTAACGCTTTTTTGCATTAAAATTGATGGAACATCTGCCCTCCCACGAGCGGGGTAAAATTTGACCATTAATGACTTAGTGGAGAAACTACAGGAAACAGACGAACCAACATATTTACTACTGCTCTATCTTCTGCTATTTATTATTTTTGCTTTTAGTAAATGCATTATGGAAAAGAATATATGTCTAGGCCTGTATTTGACCACATTGTATCTACAAGACAAATCTTTATGGAGAAATTATCAGGAATGTGTAATGTGATAATCTTGCCAATAAATCGACGAATGATGTTACGCATACTGAAAAAAAAAGGACGTTATTACTTTAGACTAATTGTATTCTACGACATGAGCTTTTCAAATAAACTGTTTAGTGTGGACTCGACTGCTCGATAGCCTATTTATATTGTCGGATGACTAGTCGTAAATTTTGGGTCTGTAGTTTAGCCTATGGTAGTCCTATTCACTGAGATTTAGTGACATTTGGATTCATTTGTACCACTGATCCATGACAAACTGAATGCTGACACTAATCGCACCTCATTGTGAGAAATTCGTTAAAGTATGTCTACAAGTGGTTAATTTTGTCCAAAATTATAAGAAGTACCTCAAAAGAGGCCAGAGATCAGGAAAGCACCGGTGAGAGTTAATATTAACCCGGCATTTGTGATGATGTTGGCACTGTTATTGTCTTTCGTCTTGCCGTTGCCGATCACCATTGCTGGATCCATCCGCTTAAGATTTTTCTCTGGTCCTGTTACCGATGCTCGCTGGCAGGTATACTTGCCATCATGTTCAGTAATATCGAATCCAAACTCGGTTCGAATCACATCCACACTTGGTTCAGTGACTTGAGTAGCAGCGGATTGATGGTTAATTTCCATTGGCTGTAGCTCTGTAGATGACAGACTGCCGTTCAACATGAGTATGTAACTCTGGTGCTTCATCACTTTAGTGTAGCCACACGATAATCCTGTGTTGACTACTGACACGTTGAATACCGATTGTACTGTCTTCGAGTACTTGCCGTGGAAAGCGCACTGTAACACTACCTTAGCTGTGTAATATCTTGGTAAATGCGTCACTGTATTGTTGCTATGGAAGATTTCCGCAGTCTCTTTGCTTGGATACAAATTTTCCTAAAGAAAAAAAAGAACATATCTGTTAAAATTAAGAAATGCAACTCTTTAATTTGTGTAAAGAGGCCTAATAAAATAATACTGTATAATGGGCACCACAGCCATGATTCCCATAATTGACCTTAAAAAAATATGATTGATAGCAATTCATCCTAATTGAATTTTTGAGACACACACAAATAACATTTGAGTTTGACATCTGTATATTGTAATCCAATTTGGAGTATCGTACAAGAGAAATTCGATTCTGAATGCGAGATAAATCCATATGTTTATGGAGAATTTTGAGTAACTTATTAGGCTCTCTCTTGGATACTTATGTGGTCATTACAACAAGGGAACTCACGCAACGTTTGAGTCTAATTAGTGGTTTGGTTCCTTTCGATTGCTGAATTTTTACATTCAGGAACTTTAATTGAAATGTTCTCTCCTATCGAACGATGCAAATGACTAACTGAATGTTACTCTCAAAACATATGGGAATTAAAAAGAAAGGGCTATGATTACTCTCTGAAATGGGAAATCATTAAGAAATACAGCACACACAAAAGTAAATCTGGCCAGTGCAACCGATGCATAGAAGAAAAACTAGCAATCTTAATGGCAAAACAATCTAACACAAACAAAAAAAACCAAACCTTTATATTGCTTGGATAAAGCGCAATGAGCTGTACAAGAACCTATAATGTTATACAGTACTGAATTGGACTTTTCATTCAGTCTACTTACTTAATTATATTAACAATCTGTTAGACTTGCAAATAAGGGTAAAACTTTACTGTAAATTTTTTTGGTTTTGTTTTTGTTATGCTATTTATCCGTTTGTTGTTTTTAAACTGTCTTTTGCTTTCCTTTGTTCATGTTTTATATTCCAATCTGCAGGCAGTACCGTTTCGATCTTGTTAGATCTCATCAGTGCAGCTCAGGATTTCAAGAATGAAACACACGACAGACTCAAACATGGCTTGGGTCAGCCCAGCCCTGTGTGACGAGGTACACTGATTATGAATACAAGAGTGCACAAACTCAAAATGAGTGTGCTATGCTATATATATTTGCACTCGGTGGAATTATTCCCTACCATTACCATTGGTATCAATGAGTGACATCATGAGTCAAAATCATTATACCCGTCAGCGCTTAATAATGGCGTATTCATACCCGGCCAGAATGATTCAATCATGGTTATACACATCATCATCATCGTGCATGCAACGCATATAGCTGATTTTTAAACCTACTGAATGAGTCACAATTAAACGAAGGTTTAAAAGATATGATTTACAGGGGGAATTCCAACAATACCTCATATTAGCCCCCTTAAATTGACCTCTATACCACAAAAGAGGAATTTATAATTAACATCAAAATGATCAAGTTCATATATCCTGCTGTGACTTGACTTCATGGAGTCTAATATTTCTTTGACCTGTGTATGATCACCAAAGAAAATATATATGATTAGGCCTACTGTATATTACCACAGCTTAAAAGCGCCTGAGAAAAAAAAACAACAAAAACAACAAAAAAAAACCAAAAAAACATTTGCACAGAGCACGTATCGACCTCAAAGAAATACCAGAGGAACTCAACACCGTACAGCGAGGGCACTGCAATTTTGCAAAAAGTCATTTGCAAGAAAATCACTATAGGCCTAATAACTCAACCATTGATTTCTCAAATAAGCATATGTGAATTTGTATTCGCTTATTTTTTACATGTTTAAAGAGCAACTTGCTTATTAATTTTTGTCGTGTTGTTTTTTTGGATTTTGTTTAGGGAGGCACTCGAGAGTTTTTTTTCCTTTTTTTTTCTAAACTTTTTCACAATCAACGGATATCAGTTTTCCACATTTTATGTTATGTAATTTAATTTTTGTTCATCTGAATGTTAAATTTGAATTGAATTTGAACCATTAATAAATCTAAGAAAGCAATAAAAATGAGGGATGCCTAAAAAGCACCAACAATCCGTCTACCAACACTTCTGGGCCCGAAAAAATGAGGACTGGCTGCACATTACTCATTGGATCATGTGTTTGTTAAAATCAAGTAGGCCTAGCACATTCACCATTCGATAATAATAATTTTTTATTAAGGTTAAAGTTTTCAACAAATTCTTCATAAGTTGAATAGTCAAGCGGGCATCTATTTTCGGTTCTTCTTCCGTGCACGTTTCTATGTGTTATCGATAAAGCCGTATGCTTAACTATATATGTTTGGCTAAACTTCTTAACAAGTGCAGGTTAATTATAGCATTATGGCACAGCATGGTACGCAATTTTCCCACCAAATATCCAGTTCATATAGGCAAAGACCAATGGTACAATTCGTAAATATTTCTCACTTCCCATGTGAAAATATTAATGACCGATAGTTGTCTTTATGTTTGGATTTGCATTCTTTTTTTTTTTAGATCTAACGAAAAACTTAAATAAAAGGGCCGAAGATACTGTTCCAACAAGCGCGTTGCCCATGACCTTATTGGGAAAAATACAGGGGGAAACGAACCACGCAAGTTTTATACGCCGCAGCTACCGTTTTTAAATTAAATTATGGCCATGGTCACACAGTAAAGTAGTCGTCAACCCTATTATGTTATCAGTTAGACCTTCATTATGCATTATGGTATCTGTAGGCCTTTATTAAATCATGATTATGCAACTATCATCTTGTCAACAGCATAGTCATGTTGTCTTCTGAATAATCCCGGACATAGCCTACTTCAATAAATAGGATGTAAACAACACTTAATTATTGATGTCTAAAAAAAAATATATTAATAGCAACAATTAGTGTCAACTGTTAAGACGGAATTACAACAGTTTCGATTACATTGAGTCTACTCTTGTTTTATTATTATTATTTGAGGTATATTTATTCAAAATTCAAAATTCAATATAAAAACATACATAGCAGCAACAAGGCTGAATTGCGTGTGGATGTACATAGGTAAAATATTAAAATGGCAGAAAAAACACAACACAAAAAAATACAGTAAATTCCATACAAAGATGATAGGCCTATACAAAAAAGAAAAATCACGAAAAGGCAAAAACAACATTAAAATGCGAGGACACCGGAAGGAGCATAGGAAAAACCGGACAATAAAGGGAGGGAGAAAATAAAGGGAGGGGGAAAATAAAGGGACGTGAAAGACACTGGAAAGGGACAATTATGAATTTAATTTTGATTTTTGAAAAATGTGATCGGACTCGTTTGGTTTTGCTTCTGTAACATTTAACATTAGGGAGGTTTCTAAGGGTCATACAGGATCTGTACTGAGGGGCAGGGAACCATGCAGGCGGAGAATCTACCAGAAGCGTGTGCTTTTAAAGCAAACACCTTGCATTACTGCCATCGTCTAGTATGAAGAGGCTCTTTATTGATGTTATCAAAAGTCTGCAGTAAAATTACAATTTTCGTCATTAACTGAATATATAAATACATATAAAATACTTAGTGCAACTTTATTACTAGGATCATTATTTTTTTATAGTTCTGGATGATAATCAAAGTGTCGTAAGTTCGAATCCAAGTGGTTTCTCGAACAAATACCCTATCAATCATATTTATTATATCGCTTGTGGTGGTTTACTATATACAAATTTTAATATTTAACTTTTTAAAATTTAACGTCATGTTACTTGTCTAAGTTCAGTTTTAAGGTTACGTTGCTTGAAATTTTGAGTTAACTTTTCATAGTTTTAAGCAACACAAATTTGATTAATATGATTTGAATAGACCTGTTTATGTATCGACTCGCATGCGAAACTATGACGTCAGTTTGTGGTTACCATGTGTTTCTTTTGTTCCCAAGGTAATATTATTGTTTCAAACCTATAGAAATCAACATTTAAAAAAAATGTCAAACGTCCAGGTCAAACACAGTGGGAGGCTGGGCATTGGTTGGAACACCGTTCTGATTATCAGATCAAGTTTTATTATAGAACAATTGTGAAGCAATTAATAAGGCCTTAGCGGTATGACTTTTTCTGGTCTGAACACATTCATAATGTTCGTTTCTTTTTATTTATTTTCCTCATCTTTCTCTTCTTTATGTATATTTTTTTATTTACGTCATTTTTGTTCTTTTCCGTCATATTTTTTTTTCTTTTTAAGGCAATTAAATAATAGAGACGATTGATTGATTGATTAATAATAATCCGTCAATATAAAGCCCGGCATTCACGGTGTCGTACGAGAGTCGACGAATCTAACTCCGCTCCAAACAAGCGCTAGATGACGCGACACCGTCTGCTGATTGGCGGTGGCAGTCTGTGTGGATGGTCAAAAAGGATTGCGCGCGCATCGTGGCGTTACGTTCTTCATAGAACCGCGTAGGCCGACGACCGTCGGGCGCGCAGTGAGTGCCCGGCTTAACGCTTTATTTTCTTTTCGGAATCACTTTACATGGTTGAATTCATGGCTCTGCAGGTTTCAATAGACCTACCTATTTATAGACGTTTAACTCAAGTTTAATTGCATGCATACGTTAAACAGAATTTTATTACACTTTCGGATATCAAATTCTAGTGAAACCTGGAATCAAAACTTATTAATTATTAACAAAGGGCGGTAGTCTTGGGCACAGTCTGAGATACAGAGGTATTGTATGGTATGTGGTAAGAGACTCCGTTGTTCAACATGTCTTTGTTACACCTCCAGGGGAGACAGGATGTTTATCGGTCAATGACTTCTCCGGTTTACATCGTCTATGTTATCCCACAAACATGATGATCACATTTTAAAAACAAGATGTTATAGCAGAAGATTTGAGAACGATGAGAAATTTCTTTTGAAATGAGCCCTGGATTTGTTAGGATTACCCATGAGTCCGACTGCACGTGCAGTTGCGACATAACTCCGTGCGTGGGTTTTCTGACTTTTAAACTCATAAGATTAATATATTTTATCTGGATCTGCGGTTAACTATGTATAAAACACAAAAAAGAAAAGAGTTCAAAGTGATAGTGTTGAACCATAGAAACAAAAAATTATTAAATATTCAGTTTTTATTACAAGTTTTTTTTTTTTTTTTCATTTAATTCACGAGGACTGACACGATCCAAGGTGACTATGTTTGGCAATGAGTAATCGTCTACATAGATAATCACGCAAACGATGAGTCAGGAGGCTTTACATGCTGAATCCCAGTAACTTTCACTCAGTTATATGCAAGACTCAGCTGCCAGAAATTAAGAAAATAAATCTATAAACTTCACGAATTCAATGCTTCTGACACGCTCACAATAATGGTATTCACTCATATCTAATGGCCTACTTATTCCAGTAAACTTATTAAACACTTGCAGTTAAGGTTTATTTCAATTTAATCGAAAATGTTCGAGAATTTGAAATAAAATACTCGACAAATTAAATATTTACAAAACAGGATCTAATCCATATTTAGGGAGTCTCAGATTTAGTCTTTTAGATTGATTGATATTGAGTAAATAACAAATTGCTGTTAGTTTAGAAATTTGACTGTTGTATTAAAGTATTAAATAATAACAATGAACCTGTACAACGTTGTTGAAAAGAAAGTAAACATCATTTTTTTAATCATTGCCTTGCATATTTCTTTTATATATCGATTCAAGTTTTTTAAATTTATACGTCTTGCTTTATTTTGTTTTGGGTGGCAGTACCTTTAAAGTCAGGCTCCGGAGGGAAAAAAATTGATATGTTGTAGAACTGATTTTTCTAAGACAGAAAAAAGTTGTTTGACGAAAAACTGGGGAACGGTGAATGAGATACAGATTTTATAATATTTAAAAACTGGGGAGAAAGGGGCGTAACTGCCCATTTTTACACCTTGTTCCCCAGTTTTTAAATATTTAAAAAATCTGTATCTCATTCACCGTTCCCCAGTTTTTCGTCAAACAACTTTTTTCTGTCTTAGAAAAATCAGTTCTACAACATGTCAAATTTTTTTTTCCTCCGGAGCCTGACTTTAACATTTTAACTATTACTTAAGATTTTGTGTTGATTTCTATTGTATAACAAACCAATGTCGTGTCTCTTTAGTCTCTTGAACCCACAATGCACTTTAAGATGCAGTTATTGAATCATGGTTATCTGATAGAACCTATCATATCAATTAATAAAATTCCGGAACTATTAATTAAACTAGAATTGTTCATAAGTCTACCTCATCTTAATTAAAAGGAAGCATTCCGCACTTTTGATAAATGTTCGATTGATGCTGTGGTAAAAATTACTATCAATGTATAAGTATGTGACGTTGGCCTAATCGTAGGCCTATATATATTTTGAAATTGTCGACTCTTCTAACTTTTGCCCAGGACTTTTTAAACAAAGTTCATAATATTTTAGATTACTCTCCAGTACTGACTATCTAAATAATAAAAAATCTACAGTGGATCACTTATTAGCTTGATTGTAATTTCAGGTCGAAATAAAACAACTCTGAATTTAGATATGTGACATGAATGAATCATGCTCTAATAACATAAAGAATAAGATCACAAGTTATTATGCCGAAAGGAAACTGGAGCGGAAAGAACATATAAAGGAAAAAAATTGCCTTATTAGAAATTCCAATATGCATGCATACTGTGTGTCCTAAGATATTCACAGCCGGGTCAAGCTACGAAGATTTCGTGTAATCGAGAATAAGATTCTCAGGGATATTTACTCTCATTAAATGAGTAAATATCATGGAAAGCAGGTACAAATTTAATTATATCCAATATTTAAAGTAGGCCTCAGTTGTACGTACACCCATTGACTTGCAGTGGAATGCAGCTTGCAATACAAACTACTTCTCAAGTCATTGTATGAAATTATTCTTGTCTATTCGAAGTTAACTTCTCATAGAAAATATTATAATTTCATTAAATTTAATTTCGCTATCTTATAATAAATAACTTACCCGAGTAAACTGTTTGTTAATTTGTTAATCCGGTGCAATCACACACTCTTCTTATTGCTCTATAATAATTTAGCAACAGTTGCCTGGTTTTTGTAATAACACTAATTTTTGAATTATATAAATTAATTCATTAGTTATTACTTGGTTCCCTCTAACCTCAACTTCCTATTTTTAATTGGTGCTAAGTGAGAGGTCAATATTTACAATGGTAACGGAATTATAATAACTGTTAAAGGTTTACAGAAATATTTTTCATAATATTCAGGCACTTTTTAGTGGCACTGTTGAATGAGTAAAAATGAATTTCCTCAATTAACTTTGTACAGGTCGATTGTTATTATTTAATACTTTCTCGTAGCTTACAATATCTCAGGCCTAAGTGTATTTTATTGATCTTACATGGAGATGTGATTCAGTGTTTTGGCACGGATGTGATATTATCATTAAATGTCAAAAACATGTTAAAATGCATAAAACAAGTATAAACGGGTTTATATCTAGGTTTAAATAAATATTAACATCCCTATTACAATTACAGCATTTTTGCACACAATTGAGTAATAGGCCTATGCCTATATCACATTATGATATTTTATTAATGTAAGGCCTGGTCAATGATTGAACAGGCTTAACGTATAGTCTATGCATACGCATTCTTTCTTCCATATAAACATATTTCCATTGAGTATATTTACAGGACTACAAGATGTATACATACCACATATCCCAGAACTACGGTATTTGCTTGAGTTATTCTGTCTTTCAGTGGTAATATTTTCCAATCTCGGGGGTAGGCACATGGACTAACATTTTCAATAAATATTGCCAAAACAAAAGCGACACAAACTATCACCAAATAGTTTTTCATCTTGCTCTATTTAAATTCGCTCTAAATTCCACAAGAAATAATTAAGAGCACAAACGTACAACTCCACGATAATCGCTGGTTTTGAATTGTACGCGATAGGAAGTACAATTTAATACAAATGTCCACTGGCTAATTTTAGTGTAACAGCCAGCGAAACTGATGTCGAAACTTAGGCGTGTACTCCTGCTAGGCCTCGGTGCTGCGTTTACAAATCCAGTTCGCATTCCGCAGTCATCGAGTCATTTTCAACACTAGCTATTGGCCAAATATTGTTGCTTTAAGCGGCTGGACTTCTTGGCATTATACTTTCCAGTATACGTTTCCAATTTCGAACTCAGCACGAGCGCGATCAACTTTTAATGTAGGCAGGTTTCGACATTACTACGTCAGAGAACAATACCTTCCCAAGTTTGCTACCGTTTATTGATTTTATATGCATTTTTAAATAGGAATATTATACACTCATGTAGATTCGGTAGAACGTTAAAGAAAAGGAAATTCTAATAAAGAAATAGTGACTAGTACACTTGTTGATAAGAAAGCTGTATCATTCGATGACAAAAATGAAACGGAGCTGAAGGTTGTGGAGCAACGTTTTTCGTTCACATGCACCTTTTCCACTAATCAACTAAACTTCCTTCTTTATTTTATTTGATCTTAATTAAAAAGTAAACAATTTATTAATAAGTTTTATGAAATTATACTGAAAATGAACCGATTATTGTTTTCCAACATCTGTACGACTTCAAGTAAATAATTTGAAACTGTAGAACTACTAGCAGGAAAAGAAAGAAAACGAAGAAATGTCATCTATATTATAAATTGAGTAAAGGCTTTATTGTCTATGCCGATTTGAGGTCCAGACGCGTGCACAGTTCTGGTAGACATAAATCGTAGGACCATTCTTTTAAATGTCTTATTACTGGAATATTTTGAGCTCCTATTTATGTATATTAAAATATATAAAAAAAACAAATTTTACGAACTACAAAATATTGGACAGGGATTGTCACGCTACAAAAGCAACACAAGTGAGAATTCATTATTCAAAGTATGTTAGCACAGTACAGGGAAGTGAGCAGCAGAGTATGTGTTGGAACATACCATTTCAGTATTCGCGGCCGATACAAACACGATGTTCGCTAAAAAACGGAATAAAAATATTATAAACTCCCCTGACCAAATGACTAAAATAAGTCAACACGACACTAATAAGGAATGTCTACATCCATCAAATTTTAGCATGTATTGTATAATCCATTTTTTACCATATTCTTTACCAGTATGCCTATCTTACATGCTTTAACATTATAAACAAAATTATTATTGTCTAATGTTTTTATTTATTTAAAAGATAATTTGACTTTAACTTAACTGTCGAGTGCTTTTAGCTGGCAGAAAACGGTGTAAATAGTCAGCAGCTTTTTTCTTCTTTAGGGATGGAGAGGGTCGTTCATAAGAATAATGTTCAGGCTAAAATTATTGTTGGCTTTTAAATCGCTCAAACGATGAGAGGATGACAAGACAAAAGACGGTTCCCCAAGTCATTTTTGCGGGTCGAATTTATTTCAACATTCTGGCAGATTAATGACAAGAAAATAACATAGGCCTATGACTATGTATGAATTCTAAGGAGTTTATTATAATTTTAGTATGTTTGTAGAGCTTTTATATACAGTACGGTAATCTTCATAAAACATATGTGTGCACAACTATAACGTTAGGTTAAGCTTGTTTCACATTAGAGAAATTCAGACGCGTTGAAACAACGTGTTGCTGCGTTTTGCGCGTGAACGCGTCTGAATTGCTTTAGTGTGATCAACAATCATCTGGGCAACTAATGTGACAGGCACTGAAGCTGTACCAACAAGAGGAAACTTCAGAGGAAATGGACAATTTCCAATAGAAATTCGGTTTCTTCACTGCATGATTAATCTAACATCGTTTTCATTCATGTTCATCACAATTCTGATTTTGGTTTAACATTATTGCGCGCATCTGTCTGTCAAATATCCACGGAGACTCGAACCCTGGACCTTTCGCGCATACACGGAGAATGTCATAACCACTATGTGTGAGTGTTCCAGGCATGCAGTTGTATGAGAAAAGTGCCTAGGGTTAGATCTGTGCAAGGTAATTCAACAAAAGGACGCACATCTCGGGACATCAAAGGTTATAACTCTGGGTGGAGCTTAGAAGTATCCATAGGGGGAAACTAAAACAATGAAGTGGTTAAAAACAGTACCCTAAGGCGAAAGTAGTGTCGCTAAGGGGAAACTAAAGCGACGTTAAGGGGAAATCATAGACAAAAGAGTTTCCCCTTAAGAGCCGAATAAAGGTAGTATATATATACAT